TGCCATCCTCACAATCATTGTTATGCTTGAGCCCATTGTTGCAGCCACTGTGTCAATCCATCTTGTTGAGGGTGGTCTTCTTTTTCGCTGACCCTCTACTTTACAAGCATGATGTCCTTCTCCAGGGACTGGTCCCTCCTGATAACATATCCAAAGTGTGTGAGAGGAAGTCTTGTCATCCTTGCTTCTAAGGAGGATTCTGGCTGTACTTCTTCCAAGACAGATTTGTTTGCTCTTTTGACAGTCCATGGTATAGTCAATATTCTTCACCAGCACCATAATTCAAAGGCTTGGGTTCTTCTTTGGTCTTCCTTATTCATTGTCCAGCTTTCACATGTATATGAGGCAGTTGAAGATAACCATGGCTTGGGTCAGGCACACCTTAATCCTCAGGGTGACGTCTTTGCATTTTAACACTCTAAGGAGATCTTTTGCAGCAGATTTGCCTGATGCTATATGTGATTTGATTTCTTGACTGCTGCTCCCCATGGGTGTTGACTGTGGATCCAATAAAATGAAATCCATGACAGCTTCAATAGTTTCTCTGTTTATCATGATGTTGCTTGTTGATTCAGTTGTGAAGATTTCTGTTTTCTTTATGTTGAAGTGTAATCCATACTGAAGGCTGTAGTCTTTGATCTTCATCAATAAGTGCTTCAAGTCATCTTCATTTTCAGCAAGCAAGGTCGTATCTTCTGCATATCACAGGTTGTTAATGAGTCTTCCTCCAATCCTTATGCTGCGTTCTTCTTCATATAGTCCAGCTTCTTGGATTATTTGCTCAGCATACAGATTGAGTAAGTAAGGTGAAAGGATACAACCTTGACTCACACCTTTCCTGATTTTAAGCAATGCGGTATCCACTTGTTCTTTCTGTTCAAATGACTGCCTGTTGGTCTATGTACAGGTTCCTCATGAGCATAATTAAGTGTTCTGGAATTCCCATTCTTTGCAATGTTAGTCTATAATTTGTTATGATCTACACAGTTGAATGCCTTTGCACAGTCAATGAAACGTAGGTAAACATCTTTTTGGTATTCTCTGCTTTCAGCCAAGATCCATCTCACATCAGCAATGATATCCCTCGTTCCACATCCTCCTCTGAATCCAGCCTGAATTTCTGGCAGTTCCCTGTCAATATACTGAAGCAGCTGCTTTTGAATGTTCTTCAGCAAAAATTCCCTAGTGTGTGATATTAGTGATATCCAGCCCCTGGTAACCACTGATCTACTTTGGTCTCTGTGCATTTGCCTATTCTAAATATTTCATGTACATGGGATCATACAGTATTTATCCTTTTGTGTCTGACATTTCTTATTCAGCATAATTTTTTCACAGTTCATCCAGGTCGTATCATGTATCAGTTTCTTTTGTGTTTATGACTTAATAATATCCCATCATATGCATGTACATTTTGTTTATCTATTCATCTGTTGATGAACACTTGTGTTGTTTCTGTCTTTGACTATTGTGAATAATACTGCAGTGAACGTTGATATACCCATGTATGTTTGAGTCCCTGCTTTCAAGTCTTTTGGGTATATACTGAGGAGTGGAATTGCTGGGTCGTATGATAATTCTATGTTTAACTGTTTGAGGAACCCCTAGACTCTTCCATAGTGGCTGGACTATTTTGTATTCCCACCAGCAATGTGTGAGGTTTTCCAGTTTCACCACATCCTATCTCACTTGTTTGTGCTGGTTTTCTGATAACAGTAGATATGAAGTAATACTTAATTGTGGTTTTGATTTGCATTTCCTTAATGACTGACCACCTTGGTATCTTGGCTCATCGACCATTTGTATATCTTCTTTGTGGAAATGTTTATTTAAATCCTCTGCCCATTTTTTAATCGGGTTATTTGTCTTTTTGTTGTAGGTGTAGCTCTAGCTCCTTTGAGCTCCAGTTGTGTCTTTTTCCACCTCAGTGTTGGGTAAATACTTCCAACTCAGCAGGTCCAAAATAAGGCCAGCTCAGTCTTCTTCCATTCTAACCTGCCCTTGCTGTTATCACTGTCCATCAGCATTTACCCCAAGGAACCCTGAGTCACCTTACATTGCTTCAATAGCTCAGTCACTCATAATTTCTCACCTGTGTGATTACAGCTTCCTCCACCTCCTTCCTCCCCCAGTAGCCTCCGGTCTCACACCCCACTGCCGCTAGGGTGAACTTTTTGAAACAACTCTGACTGTGGGAGCCTATAGCTGAGAGTTCTCCTTTAGCTGCTTATCTGTAACATACAATGTCCAAACTCCTGAATGTGGCATATAGAACCTTCTTGATCAAGCGAAAATGGTTCTCTACTGGGGATAGTACTGTTTTCTAAAAGTATGGGGTGAGGGGGTGCTTGAAAACATATGAACAATTGGAGCTACCACAATGGGGTTGGTAGAGTGGGTAGGGAGCTACAGATATTTAGTGCCCAGGGTCCAGTGATGCTAAACTTCCTAAAATGCACTGGACTGTTCCACCTCGCAAAGAATTGTCCAGATGTCAGTAATGCCCCCATTAAGAGATAGTAAATTTAATTTTTAGCTCGTGCCTTGAGAAATAAAGAGGGAAGTGCTAAGGATCCAGCCCTGAGGAGTACTTATTTCAGGAATGGGAGGTAAAAGAGGAGCTGGAGAAAAAGCTGGAAAGTGAGGATGATAATAATAAAATAGCAGTGAAATGAAAGAGGAACTTCAAGGGGAGTGGTCAGTTTTTTTGAAATTTGTAGAAAAGCAGAAAAGACACCAACTGGGGAAGATGGTTAGTGGTGTTGCTCTTTGTGCTCTTCTCATCCCAGGCCTGTTGATCACACTCAACCCACGCCCCATACAACTGATACCACGCGTTTGGGTCTGTGGCATTGCCTCGGATCTCCTTCCGTCGTTCTGCCTGTCTTTGTTCTGTTGCTGTACTGTCTGCCTTTCAGTCTCACGGTTCTGGCCCCACCTTTGGTCCTTGGACTAGATCAGTTTTTCCATCTCTGGTTTGGACTCACAACCACCTCATTACACAGGTTCTTTTACAAATGAAGATATTCTAAGCTGTATTGTAAAGTTTCAACTAGTGACAAGGACAACAGCAACAACATTATTGTGCTGTGCTAAACTCTACAAGCATTTCTTATTTAATCCTCACAAAAATCTCTGTAAGGTAGCTACTATAATTATGTCCATTTTGCCACTGAGGAAATTGAAGATTAAATAAATGAAATAACTGGTCCACTGTGAAACAGCTAGTTGTGTGGGGCTAGTACTTAACCCTTCCATCACTTTTGGCATAAAGGGTATGCCAGCCACTTTTTATGCCTCTGAACCTTTGGGGTAAGGCATTATTCAGATTCTAAAGCGTTTAGTGTCAAGGTAGGTCCCTTTTGAAAAGTGTGAAGCTCAGCCTACCAGAGTTGGAGCCTCATTGTTGTGTATGTTGAGTATTCTATTAGATGATGCTTCCTGAATGTGTTTAGTTTTGTAAACTTTTATAAACTTCTGTCTTTTTTTTTTTGAATTTGGTGAGATAAGGCTTGCAAGCATAATTGTGGCTTTCCTGGGTGATAGTTAGGGAGCCCTGATTGGTTTGTTTTGGTTTTTCTGTGTCATAGTTGGAAAACCAGAGGTTTCCCATGTAACCTAATGGAAAGGTGCCAGGAATAAATTATCTACCTAGTTCTCAGTGGCATACTGTCATGTCCCAGCTTGGTGGCACCAAGGTGCCACTCACCTCATTGGCAGATTGTATTGCCAGATCATATTTCTCAAAATCTATATTACCAACCAAAAAATTTAAACACACTAAATTAGTAAGCATGCATTCCAATACTGAAAACACATGGCATCAGAAAAAAAAATAAAGTTAACGGAAGGGTTATAACACATATCTGTTTGACAGGTTTGTTCATAAATCCTGAGCTCAGATAATGGAGCCCTGGTGGCGTAGTGGTTAAGAGCTTGGCTGCTAATCAAAAGATTGGCAGTTTTAATCCACCAGCTGCTCCTTGGAAACCCTAGGGGGTAGTTCTACTCTGTCCTATAGGGTCGCTATCAGTCAGCTTGACGGCAGTGGGTTAGTTAGGTTAAGCTCAGATATTCAGTTGCCATTGAGAAGTTACAGGGACCCAGATTTACTTCTTAAGAAATAGGTTCTCCTTGTGTGACCATGCTTTTCTTTCCTTTCTGGGAATCTGCCTGGCTGTTCGGACCCCATGTGGGACATATGTTTAAGACAGGGTAGAAAGATCTCATTGTTGCTGCTTTCTGTCTTGATAGTTTTGGGAGACTTCTCTTTTTTTCTTCACAACCTGGCAGTGTAATTCTGTGTAGACCAACAGTTAATTTGATAAATATCCCTGCCATCAGGTATGGAATAACTGAAGAAGAAAATTAGAGCTGAGGCTGGTCTATTTTCTAGCTTCTTATGTATTTAGGACAACCTAAACCCCATGATATAGAGCTTTGAGATACCACCAATGTGGTGGTATCTCCCTTTCGGAGATACCACCAAATGTGGTGGTATCTCCCTTTCGGAGATACCACCAAATGTGGTGGTATCTCCCTTTCGGAGATACCGCCAGAATTAGTTGGTTAAGTAGCTTCAGCATTTATTTCCTAGTTGCTGGAGTGACTCATTTTTCAAGGAACCCTGGAACTGCCTGTCATTACACCCACATCCTAGGAAAACCTCATAGCATACTGTTGGAAGTACTGACACAGAGCTAATTGCACTGTGAAGGATTTGGACTTTCTGAAGCTCACTGGTATGTTTTTCAGCATTTAAAAAATATCAGAAAATAAATACCCTTGGCACAACATCATACCAGAAGAAAATGGTAAATATTTTCTAGCCCTGCCTGTGGTGGTAAAGCCAGCAGTAGAACTCTTGACACTGGAAAGATTGAACCTTTGGCTTGATTGGGCTACTGCGGGATGGTAGTCTTGATCTCTGAACTGATATCAGCTGGAATCCTAGTGTTCTGTATACTGAAGTTCTTTCTCTTTTTTTTGTTCCTTCCCAGAAGCTCCTTGTGCCACACCCCTGATCTGCAGCTTCGGGCGACCGGTTGACCTGGAGAAGGACGACTACCAGAAGGTGGTGTGTAACAACGAGCACTGTCCCTACAGCACCTGGATGCACCTGCAGTGTTTCTATGAGTGGGAGAGCAGCATCCTGGTCCAGTTCAACTGCATCGGCCGGGCACGCAGCTGGAATGAGAAGCAGTGCCGCCAGAACATGTGGACAAAGAAGGGCTACGACCTGGCCTTCCGCTTCTGCTCCTGCCGCTGTGGACAAGGCCACTTAAAGAAGGACACAGACTGGTACCAGGTGAAGCGGATGCAGGACGAGAAGAAGAAGAAATCTGGATTGGAAAAGAACACAGGGAAGCCCCTGGCTGAGGCCGTGGAGGAGGTGAAGAAGTGCAGGCCGCAGAACAAGCCCCAAAAAGGCCTGAACCATGATCTCCCCCGACGGCATTCCATGGACCGTCAGAACTCCCAGGAAAAAGCAGTCAGTGCCGTGGCCTACGGTGCCCGCTCCCCCTGCGCCTCCCCTGGCCAGTCCCCACCCACCGGCTACTCCATCCTCTCCCCTGCCCACTTCAGCGGTCCCCGCTCCTCGAGATACCTTGGGGAATTCCTAAAGAATGCCATACATCTTGAGCCTCACAAAAAGGCCATGGCTGGGGGCCACGTGTTCAGAAATGCCCACTTTGATTACAGTCCAGCCGGGTTATCGGTTCACAGGGCGGGGCACTTTGACGCTCCCGTGCAGTTCCTGCGGCGGCTCGACCTCTCTGAGCTGCTCACGCACATCCCCAGGCATAAGCTGAACACTTTCCACGTGCGCATGGAAGACGATGCCCAAGTGGGCCAGGGCGAGGATCTACGGAAGTTCATCCTCGCGGCCCTCAGTGCCAGCCATAGAAATGTTGTAAACTGTGCACTGTGCCACCGAGCGCTCCCGGTGTTTGAACAGTTCCCCCTGGTGGACGGAACTCTGTTCCTAAGCCCATCGAGACACGATGAGATTGAATATGACGTGCCTTGTCACCTTCAAGGTATAGGTGTTCATTCACCTTGCCTGCTTTTTGTTTGTTAGAAGCCTAAAAGCAAACAAGATGGAGTTACTTTGTTCTGGCTTAATTTTAGCTGCTGCTGCTGCTTTGTTCTAGGCAGGTGCTGGGTAACCTTTGAATATTCCAGCATCAGCCAGTGATGGGGTGGCAGTGCTGGTTGTTTTTTTTCCCTTAATCTGATGTCATCGTACCATGCACAGTTATCTTAGTGGATAATTTTAGGTTTTGCCATAATTTGAAGATAGGATTGCTGGTGTATAGTTTTTCATAATTGGGAGGGTATTTAGAGACGGAATTGCACAATTATGTCACTTGCTATAAAATAGTTGGCTTTGAAACTTAAAGTGTACGGGAAGCTATGTATTCTTTTGATCCATGTAAACGTAACAGAGTGGGAGGGAAAGTAGGGGTTAGAGCCAGCATGTTTTTAGATTAGTTGAATAAATTTCAGAACTAACAAAAAATGAGAATGTTTTGATAGCAGCAAATGAAAAATGGGGAATTACTAAAAACTGAGAAATTACCCTGATGGTATAGGGAGTGAGGTAGGGCAGGGGTTCAGTGTTTACTTGCTATGCCTGTGGATGACAGGCAAGGACTTGGGTTCATTTCAGCCATAAATTGAATGACAGGTGTTGGTTAGTATAACTGAAAAATCTGTCCATTCATATGAAACTATTGAACTTACATAAATATGGGGTGCTGATATATAGCATGTTGATAACCTTAAAAGTTAAATAGTGCTAACAAAACGTCTGTAGTAAAAATAACATATCCCCACTATTTTCTTACTACCCCGTTGTCTAAGTCTCCAAATCCAAAGACACTTTCAAATCGTACTTGATTTTTCAGATTTTTACCATCATAGTTTAAGACACTGCTGTCTTCTTTCTCCAATTTTAGATATTATCTGTTGACTTACTTTTAGGGTGGATAACTGTTTAAGCTTTTTTTTTTTTTTTTTTTTTTATAACATCTTCCCCCTTTCTCCCAGTATAATATATCACAATTCTTGGTTAAATCTTTAAAGCTGTTAATATTATGAATAAATATTTAGTGCTGATCCAAGAAGTATAGGTGGATTTCCTGTAAGTAGTACTGTATTTCCATTCTAGGACAACTTTTGTTTTTATTGGATTTAATAATTGCTTCACATTTTCATTTGCTTAGCCTTCTTTGAAACTTTGGCTGATTGTTTTCACTCTTTGGCAGCTCTTCAGACCATCTCTCAAAAAACATTTCCGCATACCTGCCAGACATTTTTTTCTCTTTTTTTTATTGTGCTTTTGGTGAAAGTTTACATAGCGAATTAGTTTCTCATTAAACAATTAATACACATACTGTTTTGTAACATTGATTACCAACCCTCCAACCTGTCAACACTCTCCCCTTCTCAACCTTGGGTTCCTCGTTTCCATTTGTCCAGCTTTCCTGTCCCCTCCTGCCTTCTTGTCCTTGCGCCTGGGCTGGTGTGCCCGTTTAGTCTTATATACATGATAAACCTATGTGTGTTATTGTTTTATAGGCCTGTCTAATCTTTCACTGAAGGGTAAACCTCGGGAGTGACTTCAGTATTGAGTTAAAAGGGTGTGCGGGGGCCTCTGTTAGACATTTTATGAATTTTTTTCCCCCTGAAATTTCTCTCATGGCACCTTTTATCTTCTTGCTCCTGCCTATCCTGGTACACTCATGACCTGCTATGCTACATGGTTGTCTTTTTAGAAATTTCTTCATTGTTTCCTGGATTCCATATTTTCTTTTTTCTTGGATTGTTCTCTCAACTTGCTTGAGAGCATCTCCCAGGGCCTTTCTGAGAAAGGGTGCATGGGAATATATGTTTTGAGACTTTGAAAATCTGAGAATATCTTGATTACAACTTCACACTTGATTGCCATTTGTCTGGGTATAGTCTTCCAAGTCAAATATTATTCCTTTGGAATTTTGAAGGCATTTCTTTACTGTCTTCTGGCTTCTGGTGTTGCTGTTGAGAATTCTAATATTCTTATTCCTGATTCTTTAATTCCCTTTCTTCTCCCTACCTTGGAAAGTTTTAGTATCTTTTTTCCCCCCCAATTATCCTAAAGTTTCACCATGATATATCTTTTTTTTTTTTTCCTCCTGCTATTCATTGTACTGGGTACTCTCTTGGCTCTTTGACTTTGTAAACTTATGTTCTTCAGTTTGGAGAAATTTTCTTTTGTATTATTTCTTTGATAATTTCGTGCTCTGTATTTCTACTTTTTCCCCCGACTCTGGAACTCCTGTTAATCGGATATTGAACCTTTTAGTGTGATTCTTTTTGGAGGATCCTTTAACATACAGTTTTAGCTCTGTTGTTCATATCTTTATCTGTATTCTGCCTTTTGAAAATTTCCTTGACTTTATTTTCCAATATATTCACTGAGTTTGAGTTTTCTGTTCTCACATTTTTTATTTCTAAGGGCTCTTTTTAATATTCTGTTTTTGTTTCATGGTACAATTTTTTGTTTTATTATTCTGGGCAGGGGAAAGGAGCTGCTTTTGTGGTAAAGCAAACCATTCTAAAATTTAGTGGCTTAATACAGCAGTGATTTATGATTTCTCATAATTTTATGGGTTGGTCGTGTGATTCTTCTGATCTGGGCCATCACACCTGGGGTTGAATGGTTAGGATGACCTTACACATGTCTAGCAGTTTGCAGACTGGTTGGCTAGGGGCCTCAGCTGGAATGGCTCAGCTCTGCTCCATGTAGTCTTTCATCCTCCAGTAAGGTAGCTCTGGCTTTTTCACATGGCGGTCTCAGGACAGCATTCAGGAGGGTGAAAGTAGAAATTGCAAAGTCTCTAGAGCCTTAAACTTGGAACTGCTAACATCACTTTTGTCACATTCTGTTCATCAAAGTGAGCCACAAGGCTAATCTAGATTCCAGGGACAATGAAATAGTCTCTGCTTCTTGATAGGAAGAGTTGTATAGAATTTATGGTTATTTGTAATTTATAGCACCTCACTATTTCCCTTTTGAGTCCCTCACCCTACTCTTCTCTGTGCATATCCTCCAGTTTCAGAGCTAAACCGTTTACCATTCTATCCACTTTCAGACCTCATATATCTTGGTTCAGGGTTGCAGGTTCCTGATAGCTTCATGGAAGATGGAGTTTGTGTTTTTGTTTCTTGTTTATATTGCTTGGGGGCAGGGGAGGGGGTAGGTAGTTTTAGAGAGAAAAAATGGGTGGATACACCTTTACTATCTTGAAACTCAAAATATTATTTATGAAGATGAATATGGGTCTGTAAGTTCAGGGTATGTGAGAGTAGTGTTCTTTTTGTATTCATGATGGACAAATTATTTTCATTTAATCCATCTGTCCATCAAACAGTACTTACAGATTTCATGTGCTAGGTATTCTAGAGTTCATAGCAAGAAAAGGATCAGTCTTCACCTTTCATGTATAGGCTTGGGGTATAAAATACTTTTATATAAATGTAACTAACTCTACCAGGCTTAAGGAATTAGTACTATATGTGGAACTAGTACCACGTGGATATTATGTATATCCTGTAATTTCCAAGGAGGAAGGGGCCACTTTGGCCTGGAGTATTCATAGGAGGCAGATTTGATAGGCAGAATGTAGAGTTGATAGGCAGAGGGGATAAGTCACGTCAGATGTTTGTTGATGAGGAGAGATAGCAGCATGAGTAAAAGAATGGTGGTCAGAAAGGCCATTTGGGATCAGGAGACAGTGAGTCAACTGGAAAGAACTGCTTGGTTAGAGTGGAAAATGAGTAGGATAGGTAGAGGACAGATTGTGAGGGCCTTTCAAGCTGTAATAAAGAGCTTTTTCCTTGTCTTTTATGAAGTGAAGGATTAAAAAAAGTTTATGTATAACTTTTAATTTGGGTGAAAATATATGCAGCAGAACACACACCCATTCATCAATTTCAACATGTACAGTTCAATAACATTGATTACATTCTTTACATTATGTCGCCATTTTTGCTCTCTCTACCCATATTGTTTCACCACCATTGACTTAGACTCACTACCCCCTAAACTTCTCATGTATGTTTTAGAGTTACTACTGACAGTTTGATCTCATATTGATAATTCTTTAAAAGAGTGCAATTCTCATGGCGAAGATTGTTCACTAGTTTAGCTAAACAGTTTTTTAGTTTAGACATGATTTCAGGGAATAATTTCAGTTCATAGTTTGAAGATTTTCTCAAAGCAGTAGATTTGGGGGTTCCTTCTGTTTCGGTAGATCCGGTAAGCCTGGACTCTGAAAGAATTTGAAAAATTCTGTTCGACACTTGTACCCTTTTTAATCAGGTTTCATCTATTGAGTCCTTGATCGAAACATTCAGTAATAGTAGCCAGGTGCCATCCAGTTCTGGTCTTATGGCTAAAGAGGTAGTTTTTCATGGAGACAGGTATGCCTGCAGTCCAGTTTCTTCTCAGGTTTCTGGATCTCCTTCCTCTGCTGCTCCAGGCAAATAGAGACCAATTGTTGTATCTTGGATGGCTGCTGGCAAGCTTTTAAGACTCCAGGCACTACTCACCAAACTAGGGAGTGGAGCAGTAACTCTAAAAACAGTATTAAGCCAATTGATTGGACAGCCCCATGAAGCCAGGACCCTGAACCTTCAGACCAATGGAACTAATCCCATGAAGTCTTTGGATGTAGTTAAGGAGCATCAGCAACTTAGCTTCTCTTTTTGGGGGAGGGGGTTGCTGTTGTTATAAAATTATATATAACACAGTATTTGCCATTTTGCCCTTTTTCTGCTGTACAACTTAGTGGTATCAGTTACACTCATCAAGTTGTGCAACTATTAAAATTGTTTTTAAAGCAGAGGATCAAAGTACCTTGAAAGGGGTGGAGTCTAGAGACAGAGTTGAAACTTACTACCCTAGTCCAGATGTGAGGAGATAAAAGACTGCTGGGATGGTGATAGTGGGAATTGAGAGGACAGGGTATCTGCCAAATACTATTTTAAAAGGAAAATTCTGGCTTTGGGGACAGCTTTTATGGAGGATGAAGAGTCATCACTGGCTCATTTGGTTCTAGAGCAGATAGATGGTACTGTCAAAAACAGGAGTAGAGAAAGTTGGGAAAGGGATCTGATTTTAGGATAAAGAAGATGGAGGCATTTTTTGTGTATACCTACTCGTCATTTATCGACTGTCTTATTATCTGACATTTCACATTTACAACAACAGTAAAAAACCTACTATCTATTTTGAATATTAACGACATATGTCTGGCAGTAACGAATGCTGAGTTGAGAGGCAAGAGTAGCGCTAGCTTTGATGGTTAATGTTATGTGTCAACTTGGCTGGGCCATGATTCTCAGTGGTTTGGCAGTTATGTAATGATGCAATTTGGCAGTTATGTAATGATGTAAGTTGGCAGTAATGTAGTGATGTCATCGTCCTCAATTTTGTGATCTGATGTGGTCATCCTCCATTTTCACATAATGCCAATTTTTGCATAATAACCTGGTATTTGGAACCTAATCATTTCGATAAGTGAGGAGTGGGTGTATTGGGTTTCAAGTGATGATCTGACTTTCATGTGGAGACATCTAGTGAGCACTATTAGAAATAAGGTTTTGGGATGAATGCCAAGGAGTATTGAATGGAGATAGAACAAGAAAGAAAAGGAAGATTATATGACAGAGCCCAAGACCAAAATCTTGAGGACACCTATCAGTCAGGGAGTGGATGGAGAAAGAGGTGAAAAGTAAATAGTCTTGAGGTATATATATACTGGGGGTGTGTTAGGACTGCACTACAAGGGTATTGAGAAGTTTAACTATTAATTTATAAAATCTCCTGAAGATCAAGGTGTTTTATCAGTATCAGAGAGATCATCAGTGCTACAGTTGAAGCCTTGACCATTTGTCTCTGTTGTTATTGCTATTATCTCGGAACAGTCCCATGTAATTTTATTTACGGCAAGCTAGTGTAAAACAGGATTCCACAGTCCGCAGCTGATTATATGTTGCTGAAATAACCGTGTATTTTCAGTGGTGGATGGTGTGGATTGTTGCTCCCTTGCTCTGCCTTTTACCCTTAACTGCCCTCCCCTTCAACTCCAGCCTCAGTTCTCTGACTCTTCCTCTGAGAATGTATTCTTGTTTGGTTTTAATAATTTATTAAGATTGATCTAATTAGGAAGTTCTCATTGGGTTTCACCACCTTGAACCACATGTGATTGTTCTGTCTGGAATCTGCATTTGTATATGAACTCACAACACAGCTCTAGCATTTGGAAATGTTAAGTTCTCTGTACTTATGACACGGTATAATAGAAACTGAAATAAATCTAGAAAGTCTAGGGCGGGAAGTCTGATGAGTTTGCCTGGAAGCTAAGAGTCAAACAGACATAGATTTTAGTCTTTGCTTTGCCACTTACTGTTCCTGTGAACTTTTACAAGTTACTTAAACTCTCTAAGTTCAGTTCCTCCTGTCAGAAGTAGGAATAACAGTAGTACCTACTTCATAGGGTTGTGAGGGTTAAGTGAAGTGATTCATGTAGGGCTTGTAGCACAGTGCCAGACCCTTGGCAAGCATTTAGTAAAAGGTACCTGTCATCATCATCATCATCATCATGATCATTGCTGTCAACACCTGACCTCGGTGGCTGCTTCTGCCCCCACTCTTCCTAGCAGCAGCTTGTGTCTCTTTGAATGTTTGAAAATTGTAGTGAGTAAGTCTAGGAGGAGACTGGACCCAGAGTGCCCCAGAGCAGGGGTGGGCAGTATTGCCAAGAAGCTCTTGTCACTCTTTCTGTTTTTGGCATTGAGGCCCCCAAGTTGTAATGTCTGTGGCTGTTAACATGCCCCATCCATTCATCCAACATATGCTTACAGAGTGCTTTCCACATTCCGGACATTGTGCTAGATACTCCAGACATTGTGCTGGATACTGAGGCTACAGGGGTGACTGAGACATGGTTCCTTCCCTCAAGGAGGGGGAGAGAGTCATGTAAGCAAATGCAAGAAAAGGTTGCCGTGTAAGTACCACATTTCCCTTTCTAACAGGTAAAGGACAGACTAGTCCTTACCACTGACAAATGGAGACCCGTAGTCTGATTGATGGCACTGAGCAGCACGTCCTAAATCAAGCCACTTAGGAGTGTGTTCTCCTGACACTAGATCTCAATACAGCGCAGCTTTCTGGTCCTGACGCTAGATCTCAGTACAGTGCAGCTCTCTGGTCCCCAAATAGAGAGCAACATTGTTGCTGTTACACATCACCCAGTCTGGTTTGGACATTCTGACTCTTCTCTGACCATTTGGACCCTGATTCTCCCATGTAAGTGACCTCTTTCCTTTATAAGTATTAAGATGTTGATAAATAATGGAGGAATGGGGTCGAGCTGCTTTCTGACTTTTAAGAGCCCAGTAAATAATAAGACATTGAACTTATTTTAAAAACTACTTACAAGTAAGATATAATTCTGGTTCCTAAATTAGATGTGGTGGTGGCTGAGCAATTTTCTGGGACAAGGGCAGTTAACATAGTAATTTTGGCTTTGGTATAATTCTGGGCTGTGGATACCAAGAGAGACTTTTGGCTTTTTTATGATGGGACTTGTCAGAATAGAGCTTAGAATCTAAGTCCCTCCCCTTTCCTGCTGAGGTTAGTTCTCTGATTGTTAGTGGAACCTTCTCTCTACCATACTTACTGTTCTTCTAGTTGGTGAGTGAGAGCCCATGACTAAAGACCAATGTTGCTGGTTCAGACTCCGTATGCTGCACATAGACATCTGAGTAGAAAGTCCCTTGTTATTACAGTCTGGTTTTGAACATATGTGGCTTGGTCATTTGAATTTGTATGTTCATATTATAGACCTAGCAGCACTTTTACAAAAAGTGAATTAAAGCAAGTATTTAATAACCTTGAACTGAAAATATATGTCCTGTTGACAGTTGCAATTCATCATTATTCTAAAAGGTTAACTTGGGGATATGTGGCAGATATCTATCTTGATTTTTATACTTACCCAAATGACAAAATGTTTGCTTGTAACTGATAGAGAGGAGATTTTCTATCCCCTTTAGAGACAAACTGTGGTTTCCATGATGGCCACTCTCAGTATTGTGTCTTCTATGCACAGGGAGACTCATGCACCTGTATGCAGTGTGTGTGGACTGCCTGGAGGGGGTGCACAAGATCATCTGCATCAAATGTAAGTCCCGGTGGGATGGCAGCTGGCACCAGCTGGGCACCATGTACACCTATGACATCCTGGCCGCTTCGCCCTGCTGTCAGGTTGGTATTGACCCTAGGGAGGTTGGTATATGACCCAGAGGGAGTTGTGGGTGATAGCAGGGGTCTGATCCACATGAATCGAGACAGTTAGAGGCTGTACTGTTACTTTGGGAGAAGCATGAGGATATGGAGAAGATGCTGCAGGATGTGAAGGAGAATGGTGAGCAGTTTCCTGAAAGTCAAGCAATGCTGGCTGATTTGACAAACTGTAATGCAGCCATTTAGTAGAATGCTAAAACCTGTAGCCGTTGAATCAGTTCCGACTCAGGTGACTCCATGTGTTCCAGAGTAGAACTGTGCTCCATAAGGTTTTCAGTGGCTGTGATCTTTTGGAAGTAGATCACTAGGACTTTCTTCTGAGGCGCCTCTAGGTGGATTCAAACTGCCAACCTTTAGTTAGTAGGTGAACACTTCACCGTTTGCACCATCCAGGGACTCGTATGTAGTCATTAAAAGGGCTATTGGAGAATAACATATAAATATACAGAAAATACTCCCAGTATATTAAGTGAAAAAAGCAGGTTAGAAATTGGCATTATGCTTCCGTTTTTAAGACATGGAGGGTGAAGGGATATGTGAACCTTTTACCAGAGGTGGTCTCTGGATGGTGGGATGGTGAGTGGTTAGTCTTCCTCTACTTACTTGCATTTTCTGATATTTTGTATAATGGCTGTATATTAAATTTCTAATAAGAAATTTGATATCTACATTTAAAATCTAATAAGAAATTGTTTAAAAGGAAGTAGAAAGTTTCATTTTGTTTAGTAGGCAGAATTTTCTTTTTGTGTTTCTGTGGGATAATGCAATGAATTACACTGGGACTACCTGCCTTGCAAGGTGTTTAAGGTTGTCATGAAACATTTGTAATCCTTGAAGCACTGCTAACAGGAGGCATTTTCTGATGCCACAAGAGCAGCTGACATTTAGCTGTCATCAGGGAAGGAGGAGAACACTAACATATAAAAACATATTATGTAAGCCCATAGAAATGTAGGAGACTAAATCCTTGGAAATATCTTGGGTTATTTCTGAGCGCTTAGGGAAAAAAGCACTTGTTACAATTCCTTGATACTCATGGGTATTAGAAGAATTGCTTGTGCTTTTCAGTGTCCAAATCTGGCTTTTAGTTTAAATAGCTGATTAACACTTTATTGACTACTACATGGAGTCCCTGGGGCACAAACGGTTAAGCGCTCAACTATTCAGCTGCAAGGTTGGCAATTAGAACCCACCCAGAAGTGTCTTGAAAGAAAGGCCCAGCAGTCACAGGCCTTGGAAACCCTATGGAGCATTTCTGCTCTGCACACATGGGATCACCGTGAGTTGGAATCAACTTGACAGCAACTGCAACAACGACTGTTACTACATGGTTTTGTATCTTCTGCATAGAGTTTGACCTTTGAAAAGAGAATATCTTTATTATTCACTTTATTCAGAAGATAAAACATGTATTTTGAATTAAAAATGTGGCACGGTTGATATTTTAGCTGTAGTTTATAGTAATGCTTCTCAGAAGAGAAATACGGTTATAAGGGATCTAAACAGTCATTCTTAGCTTGTCCTTTTGATTCCAGATTAGATGGATTACTTTTATACTATTCTAATGCATTGAACACATTTCCATTTTTAAACTTCCCTTGGAATTGAGATATTACAGTCTTTCAGTTGTGCACTCGAGCATTTCATAATGGTCACCATGCCTTAATGCCAGCTTTCGAAATGAGAGAAACAATAGGAGCGGCTCTCCTCTCTCCACACACACACCCCACAGAGGTTTATCTTTCAAAGAAATAAGGAAGTGAAAGAATGTTTGGACCTGCTAACTCACAGTATTAGAGCTGGAAACGGCCCAAGAGATCTAGTCCTGCCTCCTTATTTTACACATATAATAGTGGCCTAAAGAATTTGAATGTTTTAACCGAGTATACAGATTGTGTCACAGCCAGAACTAAAGCCTAATTCTGAATCTGATGTTCTTTCTCCTGCCCCACTGAAAGGCAGTGGGATTATTTCTAAATCTTCAGGGAAAAAAAGGTAGAATGGCATCCTGCCACGCACACAGCAAATTGGTACTCACTGTGTGTTTCTTCCTTAAAACAATTAAAGCCCAGGCCTTTATTTTCTGGCCCCTAACTGAAATGGAAGATACGTTTGATCACAGTTTTTATTTAAAAAAAAAAAAAAAAAAAGTCAATTAGTTATATTCACTGTAAAGATACAAACATTATACACTGCTAAGGAGTCAAGGGAAGTCTTCCAATAAGACTTTGAACCAAAAAATAAGCAATACTAATTACTAGAAAGGAATAACAGGTTAAAGAGAGTAGATAAAGAGAGGGGCATGCCCAGAGACTGACTTTTAATGTTGTTCAGCGAGATTAGTCAGTTAAAAGGGGGTTTAGTCTCAGGTTACAGAGAGGTAGTCTAGGTGAGGCTAAGACTGTGGGCTCTAGAGCCAGACTACTTTGGTTTAAATCTCAGCTCTTCTACTTCCTACCTTTGTGATCTTGGACATGTTTCTTAATTGCTGTGTGTCTCAGTTACATTATCTAAAATTCAGGTAATATTACCCACCTCATAGGAATTTTATGGGGACAAAATGAGATTATACTTCTCTGTTTTTAGAATGAATCTGAATTGAGAGTCTGCTGTATTTATAAATCCTGGCTATTTGCTCAGTCTTCACTCAGACCTATTGCTGAAAGCCTCAAGTATTGTTCTGTTAGATGGAGGCTTGGGCATGAATGACGATACAGCATGCAAGAGGGTTCCAGAAACCCCAGGATGAACATGGCACTTCTTCCTGGGTTGTTAATATTTCTGAAATATTTTAGGGAAATTTTATTTTTACATCAAAGAAAACACAAATATGGTATGGGGTAAAATGAAAAATGTAAATTATTTTAAAAAATAAACCTAGAATCTTCAAAGGAGCTTCATGCAGGATTAGAGAGGGAAGTCAGCTTCATCTACTCCCTAAAGCCCAGGGTCAAACGGGTTTCTTATTATTAGGGGAACTTTGATGGAGAACTTTGGGCAATACTAGATTAGAATTTTCTTCTTACTAGTATGTGCAACTACTAGCAGAGCTGCATATCAGGAGAGAAATTGTTGTCGTTAGGTGCTGTCGAGTCAGTTCCGACTCATACTGGCCCTGTGTACAACAGAACGAAACAGTGCCTGGTCCTGTGCCATCCTCACAATTGTTGCTATGATTGAGCCCATTGTCGCAGCCACTGTGTCAGTCCATCTCGTTGAGGTCTTCCTCTCTTCACTGATCCTCTGCTTTACCAAGCATGATGTCCTTTTCCAGGAGCTGGTCCCTCCTGATAACATGTCCAAAATATGTGAGATGAAGTTTCGCCATACTCACTTCTAAGGAGCATTCTGGCGGTACTTCTTCCAAGATAGATTTGTTCCTTCTTCTGACAGTCCGTGGTATATTCAGTATTCTTTGCCAGCACCGTAATTCAAAGGCATCAATTCTTTGATCTTCCTTACTCATTGTTCAGCTTTCGCATGCATATGAGGCAATTGAAAATACCATGGCTTGGGTCAGATGCACCTTAGTCCTCAAAGTGACATTTTTGCTTTTTAACACTTAAAAGAGGTCTTTTGCAGCAGATTTGCCCAATGCAGTGTGTCATTTGATTTCTTGACTGCTGCTTCCATGGGTGTTGATTGTGAACCCAAGTAAAATGAAATCCTTGACAACTTCAATCTTTTCTGTTTATCATGGTGTTGCTTATTGGTCCAGTTGTAAGGATTTTTGTTTTCTTTATGCTGCAATGTAATCCATACTAAAAACTGTGGTCTTTGATCTTCATCAGTAAGTACTTCAAGTCCTCCTCACTTTCAGCAAGCAAGGTTGTGTCATTTGCATATCACAGGTTGTTAATGAATCTTCTTCCAGTCCTGATTAGGAGATTGTTGTTTTTGTCAGGTGCTGTCAAGTTAGTTCTGACTCATAGTGACCCTATGTACAACAGAAAGAAACACTGCCTGGTCCTGTGTCATCCTCACAATCATTATGTTTGAGTCCATTGTTGCAGCCACTGTGTCAATCCATCTCATTGAGGATCTTCCTCTTTTTTGCTGACCCTCTACTTTATCAAGCATGATGTCCTTCTCCAGGAACTGATTCCTCCTGATAACATGTCCAGCGTATGTGAGATGAAGTCTCGCTGTCCTTGCTTCTAAGGAGCATTCTGGTGTACTTCTTCCAAGACAGATTTGTTCATTCTTTTGGCAGTCCATTGTATATTCAATATTCTTTGCCAGCATCATAATTCAAAGGCATCAGTTCTTCTTTGGTCTTCCTTATTTGTTGTCCAGCTTTTGCATGCATGTGAAATGATTGAAAACACCATGGCTTGGGTGAGGTGCACCTTAGTCTTCAAGGTGACATTTCTGCTTTTTAACACTTTAAAGAGATCTTTTGCAGCAGATTTGCCCAACGCAATGTGTCGATTAGGAGATTAGGAGTCGTTAATCTATCAGACTAACGCTTCTATCACCTGTCAGTTTGTCACACTGTGGTGACTTGCATGTTGCTATGATGGCTGGAAGCTGTGCCACTGGTATTTAAAATACCAGCAGGGTCACCCATGTTGGACAGATTTCAGCAGAGCTTCCAGACTAAGACAGACTAGGAAGAAAGGCCTGGTGATCTACTCCCAAAAATTAGCCAGTGAAAACTCTATGGATCACAACAGAATATCGCATGATATAGTGCTGGAAGATGAGCCCCCTAGGTTGGAAAACACTTAGTGCATAGTGGCCACAACAGTGGACTTGAGCACATCAAGGATTGTGAAGATGGTGCAGGACTGGGCATTGTTTTGTTCTGTTACACATGAGGTCACCATGAGTTGGAGCTGACTCAGTAGTAGCTAACAACAACAACCATCTTATGCTTCGTATACTTGGTTTTTGATTTTACTAAAGGGTTGTTTTACTAAACTCTTGATCAGTTTCCCAGATCTAACAGTCTCGCATTTTTCTTTGGACGGTTTTTACAAGGGGAGAAGCAGAGGGTGTCTTGGCTTACGCTGTCTGTGTTTCCGCCAGGCTCGCCTGAACTGTAAGCACTGCGGGAAGCCCGTGATCGACGTGCGGATTGGGATGCAGTACTTCTCCGAGTACAGCAACGTCCAGCAGTGTCCACACTGTGGGAACCTGGACTACCATTTCGTGAAGCCATTCTCCTCCTTCAAAGTCCTTGAAGCTTATTGATGAAAGCTTTGCTTTAGTAATAGCTATTTTATTGATATTCTTACTTTGTTACATATCTTTTATAGGGAAACATTCTGTGACATTAATTTCTTTTCTAATTTTGAGGAGAGTTACTTTGTGTACGTGTGCCACTACAATGGGGGCTGCCCCTTGCGCTTTCTGATCCCTGAGTGTTTGTCTGTGGTCATGACCAGAGCCTGAATGGGTAATCTTGTGAGTTTGGGGTAGTGGTTCACCATCATGAAGAGTCTTTGAAGCAACTTTAAGACGGTGGGGAGGGTGACGAGAATTTAGGAAAGGGATTATGTGGTTACAAGCTAAAAGCATGGTAGGAGTTGGGAGGAAACTCTCACTAAAGTGTTAACTGTGTAAAGACTGACTTACAGCTTCCCTGGGCCCTGGGAAAAGTTTGACAAATGAATGTAAGTCTGTCCCTGGAGAGCTGAGAGTGTATTAGTCTATCTCGGCTTAGTGTTCTGCAGCGCACATTGACATGAAGTTCACCCTCACTAACAGATTGCTTGAAAGTGGACCTGAGTGCTGTATCCATCACTGTTGTAATTTAACCATCAGTTTTCCATCCCCAAAACAATATCCAAATTATAAGACATAGGAAAGCTATTTATGTGACAGATATTTTTAGGTAAGCTGACCCATAGCAGGGTTTCTTAAAAAAATTCAGAAATGATACACGCTGATTTGAGAGGACAGAAATCCATAAATGTGTCATGTGAATTGTGTCTTTGAGGTTGGTCAGAATAGCTCTTGAAGGGAATGGCATGAATAGCGTGATTTGGGCGGTAACAGTTTATACCGTTGCTCTGTCAGTGTGCCATTTGATGTCAGATTCTTCTCACAGGTAAACCTCACAGCCACAAAACCCAATTGGTGAGTTTCATAACCAATCATTGCCGCTAATTATCTCCTTCAAAATGCTTATGGCCACCTTTTACCCATTTAATGCTGAGTTTCCAAAATCAAAGATTTGACACAAGAAGGCAAAGGAAATAGTATTTTCTGAGAGGATGATAAGGAAAATAAGTTTTAATACTTGTTGTTAAGTGTATTTCATTTTGGAAAAACACTGATAGTAATGCATAACCTGTAACCCATTGCCACTGAATCAATTCCAACTCATGGTGACCCTATAGGACAGAGTAGAACTGCCCCATAGGGTGTCCAAGGAGTAGCTGGTAAATTCGAGCTGCCGACCTTTTGCTTAGCAGCCACGCTGTTAACCATTGCACCACCAAGGGTCCGTACTGCATAACAGTATGTTTAAAAAATACATTATTCTAAAGATCCCCATTATACCTTAACCAGTCAGTTCCACCTCATGATGACCCCATGTGTGTCAGAGTAGAACTGTGCTCCATAGGATTTTCAGTGGCTAATTTTTTTTGAAGTAGATTGCCAGGACTTTCTTTTGAGGCACCTCTGAGGAGACTCAACCTTCCAACCTTTCAGTTAGCAGATGAACACATTAACCCCGTTACACCTTACCATTGGTGAAAAAAGATGTTACTAGATTAGGGCTTGATCAGTTAGATCATTGGGCTTTCCAAAATTCAGCCTTCTGGTGATTTAATTGGATTCTTATCCCATACATTTATAGAATTGGAACGGGAATATGACTTCTCAAAAATGTACTTGATAGTTTCAAGTGTGATATGTATACATGCTAAGAGAATGCTGAAAATATAATCATGTTTTATGGATAACCAAATTGAGACATTTTTGTTACTCATTTGGCTTATACCATCTTTTTCTCAGAGAAATGTGTAGTTTTTCCTTGCAGAAGTGTTTTAGGCATTATTGTGACTTTCAGTTCTACTACATGAAATATTTGATGTTTTGTTTGAAACAGCACAGCATTAAAAAACCAATGCATTGACTAATATTCTTCATCTCTCAGTTTGGATGATTGTCACTTGGTTTGCTGCATCTGGCTTGGTGCTTGATGATCTGAAAAATATTTCACAGTGGGGGAAATGCTCAAAATGCCCGTGAGAAACAACATCATTATTGGTCTGCTAGTGTTTGATGTAACTAAAAGAGGTATATAGGACAGAGCCCTTGCAAATTTGTCTTTAATGCACAAAGCTGTAATTGTGAATTAGTTCTTCCCTTATTGATTCTCTCATGTATCCAAATATAAAATTGGTAAGTTTCCCTTGTCTTTAGAATACCATTTGGATTTTATTTCTGAATTTAAAATGAATCGTAACATATTTGTAATGCTGTTCTTTAATCGAGCTGAATTTTTATAGTGAAACTTACTTATATTGTTCTGAAGCTTAGTTTTCCTGCAAGATTGCATTCAGCAAATTCCTCAGTCTAAAACCTATATGGGTATAGTGTTTGCTGCAGTTAATGTTTTCTCCTTATCTTGTTTTATGCTCCATGAAAAATAAGTATGATAAGGTTTCACTGTAATTCAGTAAAACTTTCTCGGGGCCTTTATTTTGAAGATAAAATCAGGAGTCTGTGGATGCTGCAGTTACGTAAAAAGAGGGCAGAGGTGTCATACTTGAGAATATCTTTTGCCTTTAAGGTGTTACATTCTTGTCTAAAAGGGAAAATTTGGCTGCCTTGAGAATAAAATAAAACTGAGTCTGCAACACTGTGAAGATAAATCTTATTTTGGAAATCCGCTGACTTTGGTATTTTCCCCAAGCTTTCTCAAAATACTTTGCTCTGAGTACCTTGATGGGAATTGGAATATGTCAGAAAAGATTATTATTTTTGTAGTGACTAGGATATTAAAGGGTGTTAGTCACCCAAGAGATCCAGTTTCTGCTTTTCTGATGTTTAGTTCAATAATATGAACCACTCTTAATAATTTCAAATTGATTTTTCATCTAACATTTGCTCTTTTTTATCATTTGTTTTTAAGAGTTATATACCTTGAGCAAATAAAATTATCTGCTCAATTAACTAAAATTGTTTGTTGAGAAGGCAATTCCTGATGTCTGACCATTTTCTCTCAGGCTGCCTCAGCTCTCCACTCTATTCTGGTTGCATCTGAAGCAGTTGATGTGCTGGGTTTATACCTTAAAAGATACTCTTTGTGCTATGAAATCGGGGAGTTGGTTACCCCGTCTTTATTAAGGAAGAGCTTTCCCCAGACATCCTTTAATTTCTAGTTTTTATTAAAAGAGATTCATTTTCTGAATTAAAGACGTTTTCATATCTTTCATCAAGAAAGAATAGTAGGTGTTGAACCTCAAAACTAACAGGTATACTGATGTGTTAACATAATAAAGCACCAAAACTAACTTGCTGAAATCTTTTGTTTAGTCCTGCAAGACCAGTGCTTAAACTGCAGTCTCTGCTCCTGTGTGCAGGTCAGTAACTCCAGTCTGCTTTTCTTTTAGCCCTGGGTAACAGCCCTTGAGTAATTTTAGATGGAAATTGGGGAGGAGGTGGGGCGAAAGAAAGTGCTCCCGTCCACTGTTGTGCTTCCTATAGAAGGATATTGTCTAGCCCAGTTTATCTCCATGTACTGTTGGCTTTATTATTATTCCAGGTTATTGAAAGACGAACACCATTAAAGCCAGCTCAAAAATATATTCTTGTCAGTAAAGATTTCTTGTCAAGATGTCTTGGATTGCACTTTTGTTGAGGGAAGACTGTGTAAATAGTTAAAGAATGTTGATGAAATTGAAACATTTGGTTATGGAATTGTGTGTGGTGTTAGAGGGTTTCTGTTTGTGAAATGTATGTATTAAAAATAATAAAATTTCAGAAGCTAACATGGTCCCCTCTCTTTAATGTGCCACTTTTTTGTTGGGATTCAAAGCTTTTTAATCAGTGGGATTATGTGGTCAGGAAAGATAGTAGAGGTGTTTTCTGAGGTGTCTTATCGCTATTCAGGTAACCCTTTCAAACTCACTTCTAAAGCTGATAAATGTGAACTTTTTGTGCTATTTGAAAGTGGTGTATTACATGTAAACTTCTTTACAACAAAGGACACATTCTATATAAAAAAGTTAATTCCATGTGAATAGTCCAAAATTACTGTTATGGTTATAGGGGATTCTATTGAATAGATAATCCTGTCCTACAAATGTTTTGTTTGGTTCCTAGACCTGTAACAATTACATTTTATAATAAAAGGACTTGATTGTATGCTTGTTCATTATAAGCAAAGCGAACACTGACTTGCAATTTAACTTCTTGCTGACTTTATGCACTGTGATATAGTTTATCCTTCAAATCTCTTTATCCACTTCGTTTCAGATATCATTCTAAGCCAATAGATTGAAATCCACAAAAATATTAGAATACAGGATAAGATATGGAAACTTAGGTGAAGAAAGAATCTTTCATACTCAGCTAGTGGATTCAAAACCTGCCTTACCATTAATTTATTACAGACGTCTGAGGTGTAAGTTTTATTTTATTTATTTTTATGGATTTGGAATATTGTGATTTCTACCAGTGTAATTTACGTGAAGAAAACTCCATTGCAATTGTTAGGAAGGTACAAATCTTTCTGCAAACAAAAAACAAAAAACAACCAAACTGTTGCCGTCGAGTCTATTCCAACTCATAGTAACCCCATAGGACAGAGTAGAATTGCCCCATAGGGTTTCCAAGGGATGGCTGGTGGATTCAAACTGCTGACCTTTTGGTATGCAGCCAAGCTCTTACCAAAGTTAAGTCGTGATTGATAAGAATTAAGTTTAATGGAAGAAAATTCTTCATTGTTCTTAGTAGTTTGCACTTCTTTAAATCTTGGTTATATTGTTTTGACTTAAATTTGGCATCAGTTAGATTGATAATCACTCAGACTGTTTCTCTGGTAAGGTGTTAAATTTTGGAAGGAAAAAAAAAGCATGTCTTGAGCTTGTGTTCTTCTGTGCCCTACGTGGGATAAATCTTTGTAAAGAATGTGAAATCCCTTTGGAGACAATAAAGTGCCGTACAGATGTAATATTTGAAATAATAGTATATTTTAAGGCAGATTCTTTTAGTGGCAGCTTTGAGAATTGTGGTACTCTATAAACTCAATCTTGTGTTGCTAATCTTCAGAGACAGAAAAATAAAACGCTTTGTCTCATGGAGTTCAGCAGAACAAGACTGATGACATTTTATCAGTGCTTAAATGGAATTGGCCACCATAGCACCATTTCCTGGTGATGGACACCATGCCAAGTGGTTCTGATACATTTAATTAAAAATATAGATCATATTTCAAAATCAAGTTTATAGCTATCTAATTACATTCCTAGTAAACCCAATTACTCTAAAAGTGGCAAAGCTCTAGCCATAGAAGTCACAGAGATGCCAGAATTTAGAGTAAGGGCTATAGTTTTCATTGTATTCACTTAACATTTGTTAAATTGCTTTGACTACCATTCATCGTACTCATTTTATAGATAAAGAAACAGAGGCCCAGAACACTTAAATCTGATAAGTTCATATAATCAGTAGCTGAAAACTAAATGTGGATTCCCTTACATAGTTCTCAAAATGGGATTTAGATAAATCCTCAGCTAACCATGGCTTAGAGGTGGAATATTCATGAATTTTCTTTAATTTTCCCTTCTGCTTTCTGTTACTGTTTCGTAAAAGTCACCTTTATTTAGCATGTTAATTATCCTCAGATTTAGACATCAGATACCTGAACAGATCTCTGTTACTAGCCCATGTTATTGGAGAAACCTTTTAGTGTAAGCCTTACCTAGATCCTAAATTTTATTTTTTTGTTGTCTTGATTTTGTGTCTACTGATTTCTATTGCCTTCAGATCATCTGTTTTTCACTTTCTGATGCTAAGGGGGCCTAGGTGAATGGCAGTTGTATTCGTTGTAAAGGAAAGAAAATGTCAGCTAAAGGCACATACATTTTTGCCAAATATGTAAATAGGAAGATATCTATTTAATTTGTTTCAGATATGAGTGGAGTGTAACATAAAAACAAAAAAGTGTCTGGACTCAATGGAGCAAAGAGTCACTAAGAAGTAAGTGAGAGGAGTCTGTGGGTGCAGGGGTGGACAGATGGCCTCACAGGAAAGGGCTATGGGGTTCTCTGAACAGGGGCCATGTCTTAGTCATCTAGAGCTGCTATAACAGAAATACCACAAGTGGATGGCTTTAACAAAGAGAAGTTTATTCTCTCACAGTCCAGTAGACTAGAAGTCTGAATTCAGGGCGCCGGCTCCTGGGGAAGGCTGTCTCTCTCTGTTGGCTCTGGAGGAAGGTCCTTGTTATTAGTCTTCCCTTGGTCTGGGAGCATCTCAGTGCAGGAACCTCAGGTCCAAAGGATGCACTCAGCTCCCGGTGCTGCTTTCTTGCTGGTATGAGGTCCCCATGTCTCTGTGGTTGTCTCTGTCTTTCAAAACAGATTGGCTTAAGACACTATATCTAATTTTGGAGATCTCATCAATATAACTGCCACTAATCCATCTCACTACATCATAGTTATAGAATTTACAACACACAGGGAAATCACATCAGATGACAAAATGGTAGACAGTCATAGAATACTGGGAATCATGACCCAGCCAAGCTGACAGATATATTTGGGGACACAACTCAATCCATGTTGAACCGTTATTCACCTGAGGACAGCTAGGCAAAATAAAGGCAAGGTGCCAGGGGACTTCGTTTTCATAGTGCTGCCTAAAGCCTCATACTTTTTACACTGGGGATCGGGGGTTAAACCATCCAAGGAGTTTCTGAAGCCACAGGATAAACATAGTGTATCTTGCTTGAGAGCTAATTTTAGTCCATGGTATATAACTTAAACTATATGAAAATAAGCAAGAATATGTCTTAGGAAGTAGACTGAAAAATTTATGATTTTAGGGTGCTGGCAGATTGAGACCTCACCATAGAACCTCTGGATCTATACACCCCTCTTCTCTGCTGTGGAACCATTTGAAAAACATTACAGGCAGTCCCCAGATTATGAAAGATTTCCTAGGTCTGTCTTTAAGTGGAATTTGTACGAAACAGTTAGATGTAGTTCGTATCTAATGTCAGTCAAATGTTTGTCTTAGTATATAATATATAGCGTACCTTTCTATACATAAAAACATTAAAGAAACACTTCCAGATACACTAAAACATCTTTAGTAATACAGCAATAATAATAATAATGATGTTTTGATGCGTGTTGCAAAGTATCACCTGTTTGTTATTCTGAACCATTGAATGTGCCTCAAATTTTTAATATAATATAGGTTTTCCGGGGTCTGGTTCATAAGTACAAGTTATGTCAGACATTCGTAAACCGGGACTGCCTGTATTTGGAAAACAGTTTATTTGCTCTAGCAAAATGAGGCTTTTTACCTGTGTCATATCTCACAAGCAAATGCTATGGCTCCTGATTGATTTTTTCAGTACTATATGTCATTATTGACCTAGCTACTACTTTAATAAACTTATTTGTAATAGTGATTTTGAAAGCTTTCTTCGTTAATGCATCATTTATAAAATGTTTTTAATTGAGTATGTGAAAAATAACATAAAATAGGTATGAAGAATAACAAAACCATAGACATACATGGTGTCTTAGTCATCTAGTGCTGTTATAACATAAATACCACACGTGGATGGCTTTAACAAACAGAAGTTTATTCTGTCACAGTCTAGTAGGCTAGAAGTCCAAATTCAGGGCGTCAGCTCCGGGGGAAGGCTGTCTCTGTTGGCTCTGGAAGAAGGTCCTTGTCATCAATCTTCCCCTGGACTAGAAGCTTCTCTGTGCAGGAACCCCGGGTCCAGCTCCTGGCACTGCTTTCTTGGTGGTATGAGGTCCCCATGTCTCTCTACTCACTTTTCTCATTTATATCTCGAAAGAGATTTGGTTAAGACACTGTCTGATCTCGTAGATCTCATCAATATAACTGCTGCTAATCCATCTCATTAACATCATAATGATAGGATTTACAACACACAGGCAAATCACATCAGATGATAAAATGGTAGACAATCATACAATACTAGGAATCATGACCCAGCCAAACTGACAGATATTTTGGAGGGACGCAATCTATGACACATAGACTCACTTCCCAGTTTAGAAAACAGATTGTATAATTTTTCCTACATATCCAAGCATTTAGTTTTTCTTTGTCCTGGGCTCAAATAAGTTTCTAGAATTAAATTACATAAGTCTGATTCAGTTTATGAGGAATATAATTAGACCACTTTTCAAAAATTTGTTTGCTGTGTGTGCTGCCACATTGCATTGGTTTTCTAGCTCAATGAAGCAGCAACATCTCAGTTCATTTTTCTACTTATTAGTACGTTTAGTGGATGAGGAGGTTACTAACATTTTTTGTATATGTCGGTGGATGGGCACTTTGTGTTCAGTTAAGGGATAACTTTAGGTATGGATTAACAAGGCAGATTTAAAAGGTATAGTAGCCCTTGCTTCAGCAGCACACACACTAAAATAGTACTTTTGAGGCCTAGCCTGGCCTCCTGTGTAGGGGCGACAAGCTATTTGCAAGCATCGCATAATTTTAGAAAAAAAGCAGGAACACTTATCTGAAAGGGAAAAATAGTACTTGAAATCGACCATTGTGCCTTTTACCTCATTTTTCATGCATTAGTTTGTTAACATCTGTACCCTTTTGTTAAAATAGATCGTTTGAGAACTGTGTCTGTGTGTAAAGTGACATTTTAACAGTCTACACTAAGAATCCATCATGATATTCACTTTGGGGTCTGACTTGGAGATATTTTTAGACTCAAGCATGTCAAGCTGTCAGATTTGATTGCACTGATCTATCCAAATTGGGCAGGGTTTTCCTTTTTAACTCACTTTTCAAACAGTCTGTCTCGGTGTGTTTCAGTTTCAGTGTCTCAGTATCCTGCCTATAGCTGTGGTATTAAAGACTCTTTGGAGTTGCTGAACCTAATCAGTATTTGAATTCTACACAGGCTTAGGGAAAAAAGTGCTGGTTACATGTTTCTTGGAGAGAATTAGAATTTTTCATGGTTTTGGGGCCATTCCTTGAGCTAATTAGTGATAAACCAAATTACTGCAAAACCTTGGGTTGGCAATCAGTACCTTACACTTTCTTGTTATTTTTGTCACTCATAAATCACATCTTTTTCTAAAGCTCTGGTGACACAGCAGGTGATTGATGAGGGAAGTAAAGCCAGGTGAAGCCCCTAGGCTAGTGTTTCCCTCTGGCTTCCAGACCCCATGGATCTAAAACCAGAATGGGGTGGAATGGTGGGAGGCCCCGGGGGCTATTGTGAATATTTCAAGAAGCTTAATGGAGCTCATAAAGTTACCCACCACAAGACTGCATAGGATATCTAAAAGGTCAATTTATTTTTGGCAGGAGTTATATCAACCTTGGTTATCTCATACTGCTCAGAAACACTGGCAGTAGCATATGCCTTTGATAAATAAAATATGAGAACACAAATGAATTATTACCTAATGCTGTGTAATTTATAGACATGATCTTTCAAAACATAGGATAATGTCATGTTGAGTGGGGAGTGGTCTTTGGTGATGGCAAACATTTTTTAATGTTTTCCATGTTTTCGAATCGTTTTCCTTTTACCTAGTGCAATACTTTTGCTTTATTTTTTCCCTTCCTGCTCAGCTCTCTCTCTTCTACTTTGTCCTCTCTCCTGCTTTTCCTGTTGCATCCAATGTTTACTGCATCGAAGCATAGTAAAAGACCCCTGACAAAACCAGACATGAGTTGGTCAGTAAATCAAAAAAAGTTAGTTTAAAAGAATGATATTTACAGTTAGCATAAGGGTGGACAGGTGAGTCAATGGAAAATAGTCCAAAAATAGACTCACATACATAATATGGTCGATTTTCAAAAAGGTGTAAAGAGAATTCAGTGGAGAAAGAATAATGTTTTCAACAGATGATACTGGAACAATTGGATACCCACATCTGCTACCCTCTTTCCCCCTCTCCCACAAATAAATCAACCTGGGTCCATGTTGTTGTTGTTGTTCGGGGCCGTGGAGTCGGTTTCCAACTCATAGCGACCCTGTGTACAACAGAACAAAACACTGCCCTGTCCTGTGCCAGCCTCACAGTTGTTACTGTGATTGAGCCCATTATTGCAGCCACTGTGTCAATCCATGTCTTTGAGGGTCTTCCTCTTTTTCGCTAAAACTGTACGAAGCATGATGTCCTTCTCCAAGGACTGGTCCCTCCTAGTAACATGTCCAGAGTATGTGAGATGAAGTTTCACCATCCTTGCTTCTAAAGAGCATTCTCGCTATGCTTCTTCCAAGACAAATCTGTTCATTGTTCTAGCAGTCCATGGTATATTCAATATTCTTTGCCAACACCATAATTCAAAGGCATCAATTCTTCTTCGCTCTTCGTTATTCATTGTCCAACTTTCATATGCACATGACCAAAACCCAAAAACTCATTGCCATTGAGTCGATTCCAACTCATAGCGACCCTATAGGACCGAGTAGAACTGCCAGATAGAGTTTCCAAGGAGTGGCTGGTGGATTTGAACTGCTAACCTTTTGGTTAGCAGCCGAGCTCTTAACCACTGATCCACCAGGGCTCCTATATGCATATGAGGTGATTGAAAATACCATGGCTTGAGTCAGGTACACCTTAATCTTCAAAGTGACATCTTTGCTTTTTAACACTTTAAAGAGGTCTTTTGTAGTAGTTTTGCCCATACCTCACACAATATTTAAAAAAAAAAAAAATACTCAAAATACATCATAGATCTAAATGTAAAATGTAAAAATGGATAAATTGGATCTTATTAAAATTAAGAACTTTCTACTCTTCAAAGGACATTATTAAGACAATTAAAAGGCAAGCCAAAGACTGGAAAAAAGGACTTGCATCCAGAATATATAAAGTACTCTCAAAAATGTAGTAATGAGAAAACAAACTACCCAATAAAGAATGGGGATGTACAAAAGATTTGAAGAGACACTTCACCAAAAAAAATGTAGAAATGGCATATGAACAAATAATAAGATACTCATTATCATTAGTCATCAGGCAAATGCAAATTAAAACTACAATGAGGTACCATTACACACCCATTGGGATGGGTAAAATAAAAAACAATACCAAGTGCTGACAAAGATGTGAAGTCACTGGAAGTGTGATATACTGCTGGTGGAAAACAGTTTGGCAGTTTCTTAAAGAGTTAAACATACACCTATGTCCCAGCCATTCCAC